CATGGACTCTGTTTTTTGCAGCTGTGCCCATCAAGTGAAGTATTGCCCTTATTTCTTACCTGAATAATATACAGCCTCTCCTCGACTTACGACGGGGTTCCGTCCCAACGACCAGGTTGTAAGTTGAATTGGTCATAAGTCGAAAAGGCGAAAATACATAGAAATTCTAAAATGGGTGTCTCTTTTTCTTCTCAGCACCACAAGAACTGTCACTTTAAATGCTTGCCAGCCATTTTAAAGGGAATCACAAACAAAATGTTTGTCAATACACAGTGCGATCACTAACGTCAGGACTCAAAAATATGCAATGTGAAAAATATTTTATACGACCATGGCTGTCGTATATCTCGGTTGTCGTAAGTCGAAAGTGTCGTAAGTCAAGGAGACTGTATAACCCAAATCAGATGGAGGGATAGGACTTTTTGTATTTTTTCCCTAGTTTGAAAAACAACTGATTTTACACGAGCAGACATGTTTTTCGACAATAATGCCATTCCATTTTATACTCCTTATGAAATGGGAAATTTAAAAAATTCATATATAGAGAATAAATTAACCTCTTGAATTAAGAATAAAAAAAAAAAAAAAAAAAAGGCCAAAGGATTGGCAATTTTCATAATATTAGACAGGCAATGCAGTACAGGTATCTCTGGGTTAGTGTTAATTTGATAAACATTAATTCATTTTAGCGATAAAAAAATTTTTGACACCCTTTCCCACTTAACATTTGGTCAAAATTCAGTTTAGTGATACAGTATCTAGACTCAATAGGAAGAAGGAAAAACTGGGTTTCTGAGCTCCAATTGAGTATCTCTACCGTCACTTGTCTACGTTTACTCTACCCGCGTGCTTGAGAATATGCTGTGAATTCTTTTGGAAAGCTGACAGTGTGATAAAGCATCGTAAAAATTGTGAAGTGGCGCGGGCGAGCCGTGGCCCGACTGACTCGTGGACTTTATCCTCCATGCCAGGAATAACTATACAGTATTTGAAAAGCTTTCACAGTGGCTTGATAACTTATTGCATTTAATGTACAGTGGAAAGTCAACAACTCTCTAATACCTCCATGTTTCGATTACATAAAATTAGGATACATGAGTATTAGAATGATAGTACAGTAAAAGTCCAAAAATCCGGATGCCAGGAAACCGGACCACCCGAGAATCCGGACTTTTTGAAAACTCAAACTTTTTAAATTTAGCGGTCTTTTGTGGGTTACGTGAATGAATGGAGTTGCTTTAAAAAATTAATTTACATAATTCTAATAATATAAGTAATTGTAAATTACAGGTAGCTAATTTTGTTAGTTTGTAATTAGCTTGAACTGAAATGTAAAATTTGAGGCACTATAAATCTTTTGTGTGTATGTGTGCATGAGTGAATGCCACAGCTGCACAGCGACAATAAACGACCACACGATCGCCACTTTAAAACAAGCAATCAAACTGTGACAACGTATGTAATTTTGAGTCCTACTCTTTCCATGTACAGAGTACAGGCCCATAATAATGGCCCCTAAAGTAGATAAACTTTAATGTGTGAAGAGAAAGAAGAACACATTGAAATTGAGTGACAAACTTGAAATAATTAAGAAACTAGAACGTGGTGTGAGCAATGCTGTTCTAATGGAAATATATGACATTGGAAAGTCTACAATTTATGATATAAAAAAGGCAAAGAATAAAATTCTAGAATTCACAGCTTCTTCTGAGCCTTACATTAAAATTGCTGAAAGAAAAAGTTTACATTGGCCCAAATTAGAAAATCTTGATAAAGTGTTGCACGAATGGTTTTTGTTAAAACGATCAGAAGGTATGGCAATTTCTGGGCCGATACTTATTGCCAAAGCAAAGTCTTTTAAGGAGCAAATGAACATCGAATCAGAGTGCGCATTTAGTGATGGATGGCTTAGGAATTTCAAGACTCGTCATGGTATTAGACAGTTTGTTTACATTTTTGTCTAGTGTTGACTTTGTTTCTTTAAAACTGCTCGTTTTGATAAATGAAGTATGCTTTATTTGCTAATGAATAAACTATCAAAATGTACCTGTTCATCTCATCTTTATTCCTCCTTAAATTTTAGTTTTAAAAGTACTGCCTGAGAATCCGGAAAATCCGAAAATCCGGACCTACCCAATCCCCAAGCAGTCCGGATTTTTGGACTTCTACTGTACTGTAAATGACTGTTCGCTTCCTAGACCTCAATAACAGGAATGTACGTTCACTTTTAGCCTCCTAAATCTACAATACAAATAATATCTTTTTATTAAGAAAAATAAATAAATAAAATTCTGGTATTACTGCGTTTACACACCGTTCATTCCTACCACTAATCTATTATCATATCCGAATAAGACGTCTAATTACAAGATAATTTTCATCTATTACATTACCGGCGGAAATGTATAATAACGGAGATAGCATATCCAAAATTTTCTCTATTTTCTTCCATTAATCTTCCTCCATTATCGCCTGCCTCACCTCCAACACTACTGTCTCCTTCATAAATCATCATGCGCACGCGTTCCCGTACACGTCACGCAGCCAATCAAAAGCATTTTTGCTTTTGGAACCAATTAAAATGATTTTGGGTTTAATTTGCAGTATATTTGGCCCAATCAAATTCGAGTTTCATTTTGGGTCTCATATTTTGATATTCAAGTTCAGTTCCGACCATGGAAGTCTGCGATGGGTGTCACTTAAAGTATATGGAACTGATTGCGAGTTTTGGAAAAAAACGTAGAAACTATAGCATTTTTTCGACCGCATGGTGTTCTTCCAACCTCAGTAAAGTGTACTAAGAGCAAGACAATGTAAATATCGCAAAGACCAACATACTGTATGTGGCGTTGGGCAAGAATCCCAGAATGCAACGACGAACAAGAACCAGGCCAATAAGGTAAGAAATAGGTGATTCCATCATATGGCGAGAGTCAGTTAGGTTAGGCTAGGTTTGGTTTTTGTTTTTCTGGTGTTTTTTGGTGTATTTTGCCATGATTTATTTTTTGGAAAACGTCCAACGAAAAAAATTCGAAAAAAAAACCCAACTAATTTCCGCCAGAAATGAAGGTCATATTCGGTCTAAACACACACAAATGCAATAGAAAAATATATTTTTGACTTTCTAACAGAGAACGGTGTGACAATGCAACTTAACCAAAATTCTGGTCAAGTTAATATTAGTAAATAAATTAATGTTTGGTAAAGGAGCAGAAAAGGGGTGACCACCAGAAGTTTTGTTGATTTTCTTGATTTTTGCTATAGTACTTATTGTTTTGATGATTTTAAGTATATTAAAAGACATGACAACTTTCTATTATAATTTTAAGTATTTATTAGGAATTTTTTATTTACTCTAACCCCCCGTTTCACAATTCTCCTCCCGGCGCCATTTTTTTGGGTTTATCTTGCTGAATCCCTTTTCAAGAGACGTTTCCTAAATGATGGTGAACACTTCCACGTATTCCTCCTCGCCATTGCTGATGTATATCAACCTCAATATTTAGGGAAGTTGTTTAACACAAATTAACACGATAATGCATAGAACCTAATAGAACCTGACTTAACAAACCCATAGGTTGGGTATGTTAGGTCAGGTTCTATTAGGTTCTATCTATTGTCGTTTTCACTTTGTGTTTAATGTCATTATATTAGTGTAGAAAAAATTTCAACCAATTCGGACAATTCCTTCTGGTGGTCACGCTCTTCTCCACCTTCACCTAATGTTTTATTACCAATTTAAGGCTTCGGACACAGTACTGTAGGTACGGTTCACTGAACTTTCATTCTTGTAAACAAACTCATGGGTAGACAACATGCAGTGATGATAGTAATGATGGAACGGTACTGATGGTAATTTCAACTTAGAGTGAGGTAGTAAAGATGGTGGGGATCGGTTAGAGGTGGAGTTAGAAAACAAGGAGTTATGGTAATACGGGTATTTTTAAGGCTTTACCAAAATTTTTATCCGATAGTCAGCCACATAGCCAAGTTTAGCGATAATTTTGCTTAACGTTTGGTTTTTCAGGAACACAACCCCATCGTTAAATGAGGAATATCTGTACATACACAAAAATACTTTCCAACAAAGTTGTCCTCTCTATGCACACGAGTTTCCGGTTCAGTTAGGTAGGTTAGGCTAGGTTATGTTTCATCACTCGGTTGGTCTGTCACTGGGAAGCACTCTATCACTTAGCGTTACAATATATGCCACACCCTACACCTAGTATATACTCGGTCAAACACCGAAATTGTTACCCTGCCAATTTTAACTCCAATTTACAGAAATTAAGACAACTCGTACATATTTTCCCGATGTCAGTTTTTCAAAATAAAATACATCTAACAGCATTCATGTTAATATTCTTAAATTCAGCTGTGTAATATACCTTGTAAACTCCCTCATTACCAGCATATGATATAACAGAGAAACACATCACATAATATACCCCATAACCAGAAACAAATTTTGCACCCATAAGCAATAGGAAAGTTTTACAGAAAATACCACTGACTGGGTATAAGGAAGTGACACACAACAGACAACATTAAATCATTCATCCATATTTCAGAAAATTGTGGTATGTCCTCGTGGCCCCGCCCATAACTGTCTAGTCAGCTGATAATGATTGTTAACTTGACAGCTCTAAGAGACCCGTCACACCTACACATACTGTCTCCTCCATACTCCTCTCTCCTTCACTCTCACTAAGTATTCAACAAAATAGACACATCAGAAGATACACTCAACACTAGATATGAGCCTTACATGTCTCGTCTTCAGTTGGTGAGCGACACAGAAGGTCAAATGCGGCCCAATTTGACAGTTGTTTCGTCTCCAAGTGTGGTCGATCGATGTCACTCCTTACACGTTACACCCCCGCAAATATTCACTCATTTACCACTATAAATAATTCAATATCCGTCACTTTTTTACACCCACTAGATCCACCGAGACTTCACAAGGGATGAGAATATATCAAACTACGTCATTTACTTACATTTCCTGTGAAAGTGAGCCCCAAATTAACTGATACCCAAAGTAAAATGGCAGCTGGGGTGAGTTGTGCGCACTCTCAGGCCTCACCTCCTCTCATTGGTCACCTCCCTTCCAACTATATCAATACTATATATATTTAAGAGGAGATTTTGACTATTATTTAACTCATAGTGCAATTTATGATGTATTGTTTAATTTATGAGGATGATTATATGGATTAATACTAAGTTAATTATGTATTTTTTTCATGTAACGTTCATTCATGGTACTTGGTTATTTATGTAGTAACTATAGTAAAGAGGAGTTTTATTCATATCATAGCTAATATATATATTTGTTTATATTATGTATATATGTATAAAAATGGATATAAATTCTCCTTGAGGTTATATAATAAATGTCTTAAATGCAACGTATGCAACTATTAGGCGCCTTAGTATGATGACTCATAGTTCATTGTCCAGTATTGAATTAGCTATCAGAAATACAGAAAAATATTATTATTTTAATTATTGATAAATATAGCACTATACATATTTAGAGTAATTGTCAAAATTTATAAAAATGTGGTAGAGAAAGTGGTGTGGATGTGGTGGTGTGGAGCAGCCCAGTGGCCGCCCCTCCGCTCTTTCTCAACACACCACCAACCATGACGGCGGTAAGTCTTAGCCTCTTCTCATTTATCCACGCATTATTATAGCTGTTTATTGTTATTTAGGTTTCCCCAATGCTGTATGAAGTTATTGACTCGTTTGGTGGAAGATGTGAGCCAAGTTTACTGGGGAAAGGTTATTTTCGGTAAGCTCCATGAGGCTCCACATGGCTTGGCCCCAAACACCAAGTTTTTTTTTAAGGTTCTTGGTAGACGCTTGTTAAAAGCCGTATTGTTTGGTCCGTGATACCATAAATTGCATTTTGTAATGTAGGATTAGTGTTTGAATTAAAGGATCACCTCACAGATAGCAGTAATATCTTTTATGTTGCATCAGCCAGGGACTCACGCGGCACCCACATGGCACCTGGTAATACTTTACCGTAGGGAGGCCGGTAAGTGTTACTGTGGTCAATTTATAGTAATGCACCGGTCCTTAATTGATATTAAAAATAGATTTTTCCTATGATATTGATGAGTTTCGAACGAATTTGAGCATTTCCTTCGAAAATCACTAGTTTTTTTTTCAGGTTACACACACACACCCCCCCCCCTTTCCCAACAATCGGAACGGAAAATTTTTGCGTTAGTGCACACAACTGTTAGAAAGTCAACTGTTTTGGGAAATAAGCAGCTCAGTCCATATGAGTAGGGCAGCAAAATGTAACAACCTGTGCATTATGCGGGATTTCAACTTCAGAAATATTGACTGGGACAACATTGTAGGTCACTGAATCTGAAGACTTCCTAGATGCAGTACAGGAAAAAATTTTGGAACTAAATACAGAACCTACTAGAGGTGACTATATTAGACCTAGTATTAACAAATAAAGAAAATATCAGAAATATCACAGTAGGGAAAGAACTACTGTAGGTAACTGATCAGAGAAATCAGGTTCACCCTAAATTGGAAATCGAAAAACTTAAACCTAAACTTATCCAACTTAAATCCGTTGCTACGAGTCCTATCCTGCTCGGATATTATAAGAACTTTATCTATATCCCCTTTATTAATTCCTTTCACCCATTAGAAAGGTAGAAGCGCATGGCATCAAAGGTAATATCCTTAAATGGATTAGGGCGGGGTTAAGGGACAGGAAATAGCGAGTGAGCATAAACGGCACTAAATCGCATTGGAGCAACGTCACTAGTGGAGCTCCCCAAGGCTCAGTACTTGGACCATTATTATTTATTATATACATAAACGACATAGATATCGGCATAGACAGCAACATAAGTAAATTTGCTGATGACACTAAAATAGGACGTGTTATTAAATCTGACGAGGACTGCATAACTACAGGAAGATCTAAACAAATTTTTCGAATGGTCGAAAAAATGGCTTTTGAAATTCAATGTGGTCAAATGTAAAGTACTCAGTATAGGAGATGTAAACAGGGAAACCAGTTACCAGATGAACAACGATGCCATTGTGGAATCCAACTGCGAGAGATTTAGGAGTAATGATAAGTAGGAATCTTAAGCCAAGTAAACAATGTGTTTTTGCTCGTAACAAGGCTAATAAAGTACTAGCGAGGTCATCTTAAAATTATATCTAGCGCTTGTTAGACCTCACCTGGATTCCGCAGTTGAGTTCTGGTCACCGTATTACAGAATGGATATAGAATCATTGGAAAGAATCCAGAGGAGAATGACAAGACTAATCCCGGGCATTAGGAACCTTGAATACAGAGACAGGTTAAAGCATCTTAATTTGCACTCCCTCGAGAGACGTAGAGTGAGGGGCGACATGATAGGTTTATAAATGGAAGTCAGGGTTACAAAGGTACTCAAACTATCCAACCAGGAGCAAACCCATAACAATGGTTTTAAATTAGACAAATTTAGATTTCGGCGTGAAATTGGTAAACACTGGTTTGGAAACAGTAGTGGATGGGTGGAACAAGTTACCAAATATCATCATTAACTCGAATACACTGAATAGCTTCAAATATAGGTTGGATGCTTATATGAGCAATAGGGGTTGGGTATAAACGGGACTGCCCAGTATGGGTCAATAGGCCCGCTGCTGCAGTTTCCTCCATTCTTATGTTCTCCTCGCACTTCGTCTTTCTTGGGAATGCAAGTTTAGTCTCTATAACCTATCTTGATATGGAAGGTTTCTAAGTCCCGGAATCATTGTCGTTATTCTTCGCTGCACCGACTCCAGTTAATTGATATCCATTCTATAATAAGGGCACCAGAACTGAACCGCATAATCAAGGTGCGGCCTGACATAGTTGCAATGAGACCTCTGCACTCTTATTACACTTCTAGATATAAAACCTAATACTCTGTTTGCCTTATTTCGAACATTAACACAGTTTTCTCGGCCGTAGGCTTGGGCTTACACGTACCCATAAGTCTCTTTCACAAGTGGACTTCTGTAGGCTGATATTGTTAGGGCTGTATACATTGACAGTATTTGTTCTTCCAATATTAAGTACGCTGCACTTGCTGGTGTTGAATTCCATTTGCCATTTTTCTGACCACTCTTGTAGTTTATTTAAATGCTCCTGAAGTGCATTTCCATCCTGCCCTCAATTAATCTGCTGCCCTATTTTGGTGTCGTCCGCCAACTTGCTTATGTCTGCTGATCACAGTATCTAGATCGTTTATGTAGATTATGAACGAGAGGGCCTAGGGGTCCGACTAATTACCCAAATGTACCCCCAATGAAGTCAAATAATGGTCCTACATGAATAAATCGGACTGCCAATCACTTCTCGACTAGTATTTGGTGTCACGAAGTCACAAAAAATTGGTAAACTTAATTTAATCTGAGTTAATAAATCGAGTGCATGTACCTAACCTAACACAACTCAGATTAAATTATATTTTACCAATTTTTCTGACTTTATGACACCAAATAATAATCGAGAAGTGATTCACAGCCTGATTTACGCTTGTACGACGATCATTTGACTTCATTGTGACTACATTTGGGTGATTTCTCGCTCCTTTGGTACAAGCACGCGATCTATTAAGTCAGTTTAAATTAAGTTTTCCAATTTTTTGTGACTGACACCAAATACTAGTCGAGAAGTGGTTGGCAGTCCAATTTATTCATGTAGGATCATTATTTGACTTCATTGCGGCTACATTTGGTTAATTAGTCGGACCGTGGGCCCAGTACTGACCCCTGGGGAGCCCCACTCAGTCAGATTTAACACCATCTACGCTGACCCTCTGTGTTCTATCGGTGAGCCATGATTTTATCCAATTTAAAACTTTTCCCTCGATACCTTGAGCCTTAACTTTTCTCAGAAGCCTCTGATGCGGTACTGTCAAACGCTTTGCTAAAGTCTAAGTAAAAAACATAATTTTCGTCATTATCTACTACCTCGAAGACTTTCCTAAAAAACGTCAGCAGATTTGTTAGACAAGATTTTCCCTTTGTAAATCCATGTTGAGAGTCGTAGATTAATTTGTTTTTCTCTAAATGCAATCGTATGTTACTTGCTATAATTAATTGATTTAAGAAATTTCACCACTACTGCCGTCAAACTAATCGGCCAGTAATTTGATGCTGATGCCCTGTCACCCTTTTTTAATATGGGTACTACATTTGCCTGTTTCCACAAGTCTGGCACTCTAATGATTTTGTAAATAAATTTACGAGGGGTCTGCTAATCTGTTCCTTACACTTTCATCCGGCCCTGTGGATTTTGTCTTCTTTAATTTATTTATCTTAAGAACATCATTTCTGATAGTGATATTCTTTAATTTCTCTTCCTCATTTCCCCTGAATATCAGTTCCACCTCTGGAATTTCTTGTGAAAACTGATAAGAAGTAGCTGTTTAATGCCTTGCTTATTTTCTCAGTATCATCGATCACTTCTCTCTGACTTTAAAGGTCCCACTTTGTCCTATATACCTGGAAAAATCCCCTTGGATTTGCCTTGGATTCTCTTGCTATCCTGATTTTGTAGTCCCTCTTTGCCTTCTTTACATTTTTCTTCAACATTCCTAGATAGTTCATTATATCAATTTCTGAGTTGCTCCTCTTGGTGTTCTCCCAGCCTCAGTAAAGTGCCCTAAGTGTAATAAGGAGTAAACATTTACAAGACAAAAAGATAGATGAACCGGAACCAGGCCAATAAGGTTAAAAAATAAGCTATTCCTTCATATGGTGAGAGTTTGGTTAAGTAAAATAACCATGGGAGCTAGGTTGGATCAGGTTAGGTCATCCAAAAAAAGGGGTTATGTTTAATGTATTTTTTTTTTTTTTTTTTTTTTTATATAAATATATTTCACTTGGCCATGATTTTTGTCGGAAAACGGCCCACCCAGAATCCCGGTTCCCAACATTATCCCCCCATCTTGTTGGTGGTAGAAGTGTGCGATAACTAAAAAACATAAGAAAATAAGGAGTCTGCAATAGGCTGGTTGGCCTGTGCGTGGCAGCTCCTGTCGAGAGTTACTACCACTCTTCGAGGTAGTAGATAATGACGAAAATTATAATGTTATTTACTTCGCCTTTAGCAAAGCATTTGACAGAGTACCGCATCAGAGGCTTCTGAGAAAAATTAAGGCTCATGGTATCGAAGGGAAAGTTTTAAATTGGATGAAATCATGGCTCACCGATAGAACGCAGAGGGTCAGCGTAGATGGTGTTAAATCTGAGTGGGGCCGTGTAACCAGTGGGGTTCCCCAGGGGTCAGTACTAGGCCCACTCTTGTTCATAATCTACAAACGATCTAGATACTGGGATCAGCAGTGACATAAGCAAGTTTGCGGATGACACCAAAATAGGGCGGCAAATTAATTCAGGGCAGGATGCAAATGCATTACAGGAGGATCTAAACAAACTGCAGGGGTGGTCTGAAAAGTGGCAAATGAAATTCAACACCAGCAAGTGCAGTGTACTTAATACTGGAAGAACAAATACTTATGTATACAACCTTAACAACATCAACCTAGAGAAGTCGACTTGTGAAAGAGACCTAGGGGTATTTGTAAGCCCGGACCTACGGCCTAGAAAACAGTGCGTTAATGTTCGAAATAAGGCAAACGGTATTGGGTTTTATATCTAGTAAGAGTGCAGAGATGTAGTCAGGTGCAGCCAAAATTCACAGACTCAAAGCCTCAAGATGGAAATTAAAAACTACTTGCATTCCTAGAGCTGAAATCTCTTGAGAGATATGATAGTATTTAAATTGGGTGAAGGAATCAATAAAGGGATATAGATAAAAGCTCTTATAATATCGAGCAGGATAGGACTCGGAGCAACGGATTCAAGTTGGATAAGTTTAGGTTTAGGAGGGAGATAGGAAGAAACTGGTTCACAAATAGGGTGGTGGACGAGCGGAACAAGCTTAGCAACTTTGTAGTAAGTGTGGGAACTCTGGAAAGTTTCAAAAGGAGGCTAGATAGATTCATGGATGATAGAGAGTTGTAGTAACTCTCGACAGGAGCTGCCATGCACAGGCCAACCGGCCTATTGCAGACTCCTTATGTTCTAATAGAACCTGACCTAACCAAAGAAACCTACTTAACTTCATAGCTGGGGGGCGACTGCTGCCGGGACAGCTGGGGAACCCCCCCCCCCTCCTCCTCCTCTCACCTAATAAGAACTTTGATATCTGCTACCAGTAAAGCGACTTTGAAGTGGCATTGTAATTTTTATATTTTTTGTGGACATGAGTATGCTCAGATCAAGCGGCTTCCGGTTGTTGCACTGAAACAAACCAAGAGCAAATAACACACTAGAGGAAACAAACCAGAGCAGAATGTTACAAAACTAACAAGAGAGCAAGATAACACTGAAACCAGCAAAAACAGATAACACACTGAAACTAACCAAGGCAGATAACACACTGTAAACCAACCAAGAGCAGATAACACTGAAACTAACCAGAGCAGATAACACTGAAACCAACCAAGAACAGATAACACTGAAACAAACCAAGAGCAGATAACACACTGAAACTAACCAAGAGCAGATAACACACTGAAACAAACCAAGAGCAGATAACACACTGAAACAAACCAAGAGCAGATAACACACTGAAACCAACCAAGAGCAGATAACACACTGAAACCAACCAAGAGCAGATAACACACTGAAACCAACCAAGAGCAGATAACACACTGAAACAAACCAAGAGCAGATAACTTACTGAAACTGACAAGAGCAGATAACACACTGAAACCAACCAGAGCAGATAACACACTGAAACCAACCAAAAGAGCAGATAACACACTGAGAAACCAACAAAACGAATAACACACTGAAACCAACCAAGAGCGAATAACACACTGAAACCAACCAGAGCAGATAACACACTGAAAACTAACCAAGAAACAGATAACACTGAAACCAACCAAGAGCAGATAACACACTGAAAAACCAAGAGCAGATAACACACTGAAACCAACCAAGAGCAGATAACACACTGAAACCAACCAAGAGCAGATAACACACTGAAACCAACCAAGAGCAGATAACACACTGAAACCAACCAAGAGCAGATAACACACTGAAACCAACCAAGAGCAGATAACACACTGAAACAAACCAAGAGCAGATAACACACTGAAACAAACCAAGAGCAGATAACACTGAAACAAACCAAGAGCAGATAATGCACAAACAAACCAAGAGCAGATAACACACTGAAACAAACCAAGAGCAGATAACACACTGAAACCAACCAAGAGCAGATAACACACTGAAACAAACCAAGAGCAGATAACACACTGAAACAAACCAAGAGCAGATAACACAAACGGCAGAATTTCCGGTGTAATATTTGTTTTAAAAAATGCCGTATAGACATTTTTTTATCAATTTTTTTCCCCCATTCATTATTTTATCCCACAATTTCCCTCGGCATTCATACCCTGCCCATTACGGGTTATTTATGATCATAGTTAAACAAAGATACAATTAAAAAAAATTTATTTTTATCACACAAAGAGTATTGCAGAACATTGATGTAATCAAACTACTACTACTAGTAGGCAGCTCCACTATTACCCCGGCTTTAGAACACTTTCTGAGTATGATTTTAGGTTTTAGAAATTTCTATGACATGATGTTTATAACCAATTACTTAGGCAGTGGCATTGCTGACAAACTCATCACCCACTTGACTGATCATTACCCAATTTATATAATTTGTGCTGGTGGAGACAGTTTCTTTATTTGTTTTATTATTCCATAGGCCAAGCCTCCAGTGAAGAAGCCTGTGGCGAAAGCTACTGGTAGCAAAAAGCCTCAGAAGCCACAGGTTCAGGCAAAGAAGGGCAAAGGTGTAAAGGGGAAGGTCGGCAAGGGTCGCCGTGGAAAGAAGCTGCAGCTTAAGTTCCACATTGACTGCCGCCAGCCTGTTGAGGATGGCATAATGAATGCTGCCGACTTCGTAAGTGTATTGGTTATTGTAGTTCTGAATTTTGTTTAGGATATTTTTTTTTTGACCGTGATCATTTGAACCCAGCATATTGACTGGAGATTTAGACCTTTGCAAAACAAGCTGGTTTCCTGTTGTATATCATAGGAAACATCGCTTCCTTCAGTTGACATACAGCATGAGGAATCATTTTCATGAGATCACATTACTGGTTTTAACATTTATTATAAGGTATATACAGTGGTCCCTCCATTAATGAGCGGTTCAATTTACTAGATTTCAGTCAGTGAATTACCCCCATAAGGATTTTCAGTTCTATTAACGACAGCCTTACGAGAAACACGCTTTGGTGCGCGTGTCAGCTGATCGGCTAGTCCACCAGTACAGTAATCGATTCTATATTTACTTTCGTTTCTAGTGGAGTAAATATCTAGAAAGATGTGCTCTTGAATATTTGTTCTTTTTTTACATTAAGATTATTGGTCATTTTGAAATTTAGTAAACATATAGATAATATACAGTGCAGAAATTATAATGAAACGTGAAGGCATTAGAACCAATGCACTCTGTAAAGAATGTCATCATCGACTGCCTATACAATCAGCTGTTTGTTATGTAAACAAAGCTGCCGGGAATACAACATACACACATCAAACTAAGTTAAAATACAGTATTTTATTGTTTTTTATTTATTATTTACAGTATACAGTACAGTACTGTATTATGTTTTTATTTAATGTAACACCGGTATACAGTACTTTGTATGTACTTTTTCTGTGAGTTGGAACCAATTACCCAATATCTCATTGAAATAATCTTCAGTTAACGACCGACTGTGGCACCAATTGTGCTCATTAATCGAGGGACCGCTATATATGTCTTGAATAATGACGAAAGCTAAGGTGCTCCATTGTTTTCCTGTTATTTTATCGAGATTTATCCTGTCCATGTTTCCATTGTGGATCTTCATTATATATATATATATATATATATATATATATGCTGATAACCACAAGGAAAAAGAAAACATGAAGTTCCCAAGTGCTTTCATGTAATTCACATCTTCAGGTGAGAAGGTTGGGTCATCTTACCCTCTGACCTGCCTGTGGACTGCTGCGGTGCTTTTTGAAGATCAGTAGAGTCACTACCTAATAACCTGACTATTGTGGACTTGATCTCACCTTCCTCTACTGTATATATATTTGCCTTGTTATGTATTACTCCTTTGTCTGTACTCAACCCTGAAGATGTGAATTACACGAAAGCGCTTGGGAACTTCGTGTTTTCTTTTTCCATGTGGTTATCAGCATATACATGGATCACGTGCGCACCCACAGTGATTTACTTGCACACACACACATATATATATATATATATATATATATATATATATATATATATATATATATATATATATATATATATATATATATATATATATATATATCCATCCAGAGACACATTTTATAGATTTTTATAGTATTTTGTGTAGATTTCCTGATTATAAGTGAAGCTAGTTTTTAAGTCCACAATGTGGTGTAAGCAGTTATACGACATTTCCTGTGCATACAAGTGGCTATTGAACCTGTACATTCCATGACCACTTTTAGTTACCTGCCTTGGTGCCCCATCTGCATTTCATTATCATGTGTAGCCGTTACTAGGTTTATCCTCCTTCAAAATTGTCCTCACTTTTATATTGATTACATTATTTTAACTCCTGATATCTTCATTAATATCTGTTGCAACTTTGGCAGTTGCTTCCCAGCCTTAAGCATGAGGAATGCTTATACATTATTAATTTTGAGGTTTGCATTTCAAAGTCCCAAACCTAATTCACTGTAGGTTGGGTTGGAATAAGTGCATCTAATTTCTCCAGTGTTGAAGCTACAGCCTTTAACTTTGCCTGCTTTACAAGAAAAAATTATTTAATAACTTTTATACACATTCAAGCATGGAATGTAACTAAGATTTTTACATTTTCTTTTTGTGCCACATTAGTACAGTACAGTACAGTATTAGGCTAGTCCGCCTGTAACGTGCTATTGCCTAAATATGTTTGTACACTATATTTAGCTCGAGAATATAGAATTATTAATAACTAACTTGAGGAATCTACCAACCTTTGAAAGAATTTGGTAGTTTCTGCAAGTGTTAGGCTTATACATATTACATGTGGACTGGCTCTAATGACACAGCAGTTAGGGTGACCTTCCCTAGCTGGGTGCTGGTAGGGTAACTTCCCTACAGTGCCATCTATGGTTCTCCTTACAGGAAACGTTCCTACAACAGCGTATCAAGGTCAATGGAAAGACCAACAATTTCTCCAACCAGGTTTCCTTGGAGCGCAATAAGCACAAGATTACCCTTAATGCTGATGTTGCTTTCTCTAAAAGGTGAGTTTTTGTGGTCGTCTTTGGAATAGGGTAGTTCACGTTAGTGTAGGACTAGTTTGATTGCAGCATTGCTCCATATACTTTAGGAGGGGGTTGTTATGCTAAAGCATCTTTGTTTGGGTTGTTTATAAAAGATGCAATGTCAGTTAAACATAACAATATTTTGTGGTGGTATTCATCAGATAGTTGGTTTAGTTACTGTACCCAAGAATATCTGTGGGTAGTTTTAAAGTTGCCGACATTTTTTGCGGCTGGGACAGGGAGCCATTCATTCTAGAGACGGTAATTTCCTTTATCTGTATTGCAAATATATATATATTATATATATAGATATTGAATTAGGACAAACTTTTAGTAAATTTTTCTGAACCATATTTAAACATTCCAACAGGTACCTGAAGTACCTCACCAAAAAGTACCTCAAGAAGAATAATCTTCGTGATTGGCTGAGAGTGGTTGCTCCCCCCACAGCCAAGGACACCTATGAGCTCCGCTACTTCCAGATCAACAATGAGGAAGATGACGATGATGATGGTGATGAGTAACTCACAGCTCAATAAAATTGTGATATTTAGATGGCCTTTCATTAATTTATTTTGACCTGAAGCTGTTAGATTCTGAAAATTATGGACCAGTGGTGTTATAAAAAAAAATATTCAGCCAAGTTGGTGTTATTTTTCAAAGTACAGTGGCTGTATTTTCAAAACCCCATCAGTTATGTACATTATGCAGTCTGTAACTAGTGTTTACCCTGTAAATTCAGTTCTATTGTCTGAAGGTAGATGGCAGTGCATGAGCTAGTTTGCCAATTGTAGCTCAGTAAACAAAATCAACCAATCACAAGAGGAGAAATCGGCTGAGATAGACGCATGTAATATTTGCTAGATGTGATTCAAGTGGCATTAGTGAAGATGAAATTGGGGTTGAGTAATACTTGAGGGCTGGTTAACCAATGACCAAAATAAATCATATGTATATATATATATATAGATATAGATATATATAGATAGATAAAATCACACGGGAAAAGGGAAACAATGGAGCACCTTATATATATGTGTGTATATATAATATATATATGTATATATATACTTCATTTTTAGTCCATATAACACGCGGACTTTGAACATATAATCAACGACCTCACCAGCAAGGAATCGAACCCTCGACCTACTGGGTGTGACTAGGGAACGCTTACCGGCTAGGCCACTAAAAGCAGTTCTAGACTGTTATGTACCTCGCGTTTCATACCAGCTGGATTCGGTAAAATGCTACTGACACCACATAAGAGGCACGGGCAGTTTCCCAATGAGGTTCACGGCGCCATCAGCTCGATGAACAGGCTGTGTGAAATATAACAGTCTAGAACTGCTTTTAGTGTCCTTGTGGCCTAGCCGGTAAGCGTTCCCTAGTCACACCCAGTAGGTCGAGGGTTCGATTCCTTGCTGGTGAGGTCGTTGATTATATGTATATATATTATATATAATATATATATGTATGTATATATATTTATATATAATATATGTATGTATATATATATAATATATATATATATATATATGTATATATAATATATATATATATGTATATATATATAATATATATATATATATATATGAATATATATGTATATACATATATATAATATATGGAGGCTATATATATATATATGTATATATATTTCTTGATAAAATCACACGGGAAAATGGAAACAGAGCACCTTAGCTTTCGTCTTTATTCAAGACATCTTCAGAGGCAACTGGACTACATGGACAGAGAGAGGCTTAAATATACAGGGTGACCTTAAAAACATGGTCAGGTCATAATGTCATCCACTAATCCCCTCACCAACACACACGTAGAGGTGCTTAAGAGAAGGGGGTGACGTGACTAGTCAGGTCAGGTAAAAAATAAGGGACCCATGTAGCAAATGTTATTTTAATTATGTAGAACAGACATGTGGAATAGGCTACCGAGTGCTATAGTAGGATCGGGGACGCTAGGGAGCTTCAAGACGAAGTTGGATAGGCACATGGAAGTGCTGGGATGGGTGTGAAAGGGATCTGCCCTGTATGGGCCAGTCGGCCTCCTGCAGTATCCCACTTTCTTATGTTCTTAAGTATAATATCAGAACAGCATCTGAAAGCAGTGCCTTGTTCGTTCATGTTAGGAATAATAATCATCCCATTGCTTGGGAAAAAAGCTTAAAAGTATTTAAATCATCTTGTGTCACAAAAAGACTTCTGGTTGAAGCTAGGAATTAAAAACAATAAACCTTAGTGATGGTCAGTTCAAAACTGATATGTTATATAAATTTATTTGTCAATGGCCCAAGGTTAAAAACGCTTTGAAAACCATTGATCTAGATGTATGATAGTTATTTAGTGAGTCCCTTATTTTTGACCTGACAAAGGGCCAGGGGACAGCAGCGCACCCTCCACCTGCTCTAACTCCCACCCGGGAGGCGGCACCAATTCCGCCTACCGGACAGGACGGGGCGAGCGCCGTGTAAAGAATGACATTTCTAACCACACCCTGCAAAATACAGTGTTGTGGTGTTCAAGATGTTTGGTTCACACTCAGGATGGAATGGAGAAAGGAAACTCACAATGTGCTCTCTATATACATGTTGTATTGGATGTACAATGCAGCTTGGTGCTGGGAAGGCAGCGTGGTTACAAGCGTGATGTAGAGAGAGCTGGTTGGTGAGGACGCTCAGAGAAGGACAGCTTGTGGGTCGCCATGCTCGCCAGCGGGAGAGAGGACCGCCAGGCAGGCGGAGGAGGAGGTGTTGCTGGCTGGTTGGTGTAGGTAGAAAAGAGCGAGATCACCACGAGGTCAGGTCTTACATAGCAGGGGTAGGCGTGGCTCAGCAGTTGACCCCCGCTCCGTGGTGTATGGCGGCGCTGGTTGACCTAGACCACGAGGCATACACTGGGAAATTGGTGGGGTCGGCTAGGCAGCGACAAACAGCGTTTGTAGGGGAGAATTCCACTACAATATCAATGTTAAAAACTTAAACAAACATTGTAGGTAATTAATTGTGCGGTTAACACTGCGGATGTTCCATTAAGTGAACCTAAGCGTTCGTGCAAATGCTATATAAGACTGTAGTCTTTGGATTGTTTGTTGAAAAATCATGGGAGTATGGGACTCATAAACGTAAGGCTCTAATTCTGGAGCTAACTACAAATTTATAATAAATGGTGGCAAATGGGTCCTAGTAAATGGCCTCGTACACATCAGTATAATTGCACCATTAAATGGTTATGATAATGTAGGTGCTGTTAAATGGGTATTTTAATTAGTGGCAAGTGGAACTGCTGGATAAATTTCCACAGTGTAGAATGTAGGTATCAACAGGTACTAGACACGGCCTGCTTCGTCCAGAATATACTGGAGTAACAAAATGGCTCCGGTGAGGTTCCATATTGGCAATATAAGACCAGAGGTGGGTCAATGATTGATTTTTTATTTTGCCGCTTACAGCGGCTACTTTATTGTGCACCCCACACCCATCCTGTGAGCGGTAGCGCAAAAGGATTACAGAGTAGGGTTTACAACGGGTCATAATAATTAACCCCAGTTGTCAGGATATTATGGCACTGAATGTTACACAGTATTTCAATTACATTATTTGTTTAATTCTATACATAAAGGGTAACTTATTCACAAATGCGTGAGAACAGGCGTGTGAGGCAGTATGTCTGGCCTCACACTTTGTTATTCACATTTACGTGAGAAGTATTCAAGCACATTGTGTATTTGGTTCTGTACATGAGAACTGATATAGTTTGGGTTAATGAGTTACTGTATTAGACGATGGAACAGTAACGAGAACTGATATAGTTTGGGTTAATGAGTTACTGTATTAGACGATGGAACAGTAACGAGAACTGATATAGTTTGGGTTAATGAGTTACTGTATTAGACGATGGAACAGTAACGAGAACTGATATAGTTTGGGTTAATGAGTTACTGTATTAGATGATGGAACAGTAACGAGAACTGATATAGTTTGGGTTAATGAGTTACTGTATTAGACGATGGAACAGTAACGAGAACTGATATAGTTTGGGTTAATGAGTTACTGTATTAGATGATGGAACAGTAACGAGAACTGATATAGTTTGGGTTAATGAGTTAGACGATGGAACAGTAACGAGAACTGATATAGTTTGGGTTAATGAGTTACTGTATTAGACGATGGAACAGTAACGAGAACTGATATAGTTTGGGTTAATGAGTTACTGTATTAGATGATGGAACAGTAACGAGAACTGATATAGTTTGGGTTAATGAGTTATGAGATGGAACGATAAAGAACTGATATAGTTTGGGTTAATGATTTATTAGATGATGGAACAGTAACGAGAATTGATATAGTTTGGGTTAATGAGTTACTGTATTAGACGATGGAACAGTAACGAGAACTGATATAGTTTGGGTTAATGAGTTACTGTATTAGAGGATGGAACAGTAACGAGAACTGATATAGTTTGGGTTAATGAGTTACTGTATTAGATGATGGAACAGTAACGAGAATTGATATAGTTTGGGTTAATGAGTTACTGTATTAGATGATGGAACAGTAACGAGAATTGATATAGTTTGGGTTAATGAGTTACTGTATTAGACGATGGAACAGTAACGAGAACTGATATAGTTTGGGTTAATGAGTTACTGTATTAGATGATGGAACAGTAACGAGAACTGATATAGTTTGGGTTAATGAGTTACTGTATTAGATGATGGAACAGTAACGAGAATTGATATACTTTGGGTTAATGAGTTACTGTATTAGACGATGGAACAGTAACGAGAACTGATATAGTTTGGGTTAATGAGTTACTGTATTAGATGATGGAACAGTAACGAGAACTGATATAGTTTGGGTTAATGAGTTACTGTATTAGATGATGGAACAGTAACGAGAATTGATATAGTTTGGGTTAATGAGTTACTGTATTCGAGGATGGAACAGTAACGAGAACTGATATAGTTTGGGTTAATGAGTTACTGTATTAGAGGATGGAACAGTAACGAGAACTGGAGTATAGTTGCCAATGAGTTACTGTAATAGACGACGTCATAACGAGAACGATAATAGTTTGAAGCAATGAGTTACTGTATTATATTTGATGGGAACAGTAACCAGAACTGATATAGTTTGGGCTAATGAGTTACTGTATTAGGGAGGATGGAAACAGCAATGAGAACCGATAGTTTTAATAATGAGTTACTGCATTAGATGATGGAACAGGTAACGAACCATAGTTTAAAGTAATGAGGCTGATTGTATTAGATGATGGAACAGTAACGAAACTGATATAGTTTGGGTTAATGAGTTACTGTATTAGAGGATGGAACAGTAACGAGAACTGATATAGTTTGGGTTAATGAGTTACTGTATTAGAGGATGGAACAGTAACGAGAACTGATATAGTTTGGGTTAATGAGTTACTGTATTAGACGATGGAACAGTAACGAGAACTGATATAGTTTGGGTTAATGAGTTACTGTATTAGAGGATGGAACAGTAACGAGAACTGATATAGTTTGGGTTAATGAGTTACTGTATTAGATGATGGAACAGTAACGAGAACTGATATAGTTTGGGTTAATGAGTTACTGTATTAGAGGATGGAACAGTAACGAGAACTGATATAGTTTGGGTTAATGAGTTACTGTATTAGACGATGGAACAGTAACGAGAACTGATATAGTTTGGGTTAATGAGTTACTGTATTAGACGATGGAACAGTAACGAGAACTGATATAGTTTGGGTTAATGAGTTACTGTATTAGATGATGGAACAGTAACGAGAACTGATATAGTTTGGGTTAATGAGTTACTGTATTAGATGATGGAACAGTAACGAGAACTGATATAGTTTGGGTTAATGAGTTACTGTATTAGACGATGGAACAGTAACGAGAACTGATATAGTTTGGGTTAATGAGTTACTGTATTAGAGGATGGAACAGTAACGAGAACTGATATAGTTTGGGTTAATGAGTTACTGTATTAGAGGATGGAACAGTAACGAGAACTGATATAGTTTGGGTTAATGAGTTACTGTATTAGAGGATGGAACAGTAACGCTCGCTGGCTGGGTGTGTGTTGCTGAGTGACCGCCAGGCCCAGGTCCCTCCCTCCCAACATCTCAAAACAGGAAACTAAACTACATCGGCTGGCTGAGTGGCAGTGCTCAAGTTTACTGTAAAATTGCAGCCATGAAAGCGGATGACATAGTGTACCTGGGCCTTCTAATAACTTCTATAGGTTTCGGGCAAATTTATAGACGTTTAGGAACACCTGAAGCTCGGAAATGGGTGGGCACGTGTGTGGGGCTGGGGTTGACTGTGGCCGTCTCAGGGTGGCACATACTTCATCCTCTCCTACTCACCGCCACTAATGTTCTTATTCTTCAGTACAGTAAAAGGTAAGTGTACATTACTGTTGTTAATATGTGGACTGTAACTCAGAGTGTAACCAAAATACCGTACATAAATGTAAGGCGGTGTGTAATCCCTGAACACAGATTTACCATCATAAGTTAATTGCTTATGTTCATTTTTGGGAGTACTTTACTTTGGGACATAGTGCACCATAAACTACTGAAACATGTAGATCTCGCTATTCTGAGCATTTTGAACCCCATATATACATGGCGGAAATAGATAATAGCGACACAATTGAATTTAATTGATTTTAAGTAGGTTTCAGTCTTGGTCTATGAGTTGCCTTCAGCATCACGTGTGCTGACGTCATCCAGTCGTGGCCAATAAGTTATTAATATCACAATTTTTTTTTTACCAATCGCATATGATTTTTTTCAAAGGAAGCAGCCCGAGTACGATTTGAATTTCATTGACTAGTCTCACAATGGCCGTGGTGGAAGTTATTTGTCGTTTGTGCTCCTACGAACTATTTTAAGTTTATTGCTGAGTTTTACAAGAAAGACGATTATTCTATCCAATTCTTGCATATCCCTGATCCTTCCACTTCTAACTAAGGTATTTTACTTTCGGACATGGCGCGCCCCAAAATTTGTAACTACTGAAACATTTATGTTAGTTTAAGCTAGGCCTAGTGGGGGTCCGCGGCTAGGGGTCAGGTCAGGCCTTCCGGAAGTCTGGAGTTAAGTTAGTTATGTTAGGTCAGATGACTCGTTTTAGGTTTCTCTCACACCCAAAAACCGCCAATTTTCCAGACTCTCCCCCATTATTGTTGGGGGGTGGGGGGGCAAAAACTAGCAATTTCTGCCAAAAATGAAGGTCAGATACGTTTAAAGCATCCCTTGGGACTCATGTCCTCAAGTAAAAATTTACCTAATTTTATGCACAGATGTTCTCATTATAGTAAGTACTGTATTTTAAAAGAGACGACATTTATTAGAACCTAAAAGACCCTGACCTGACCAACTAAAGAAACCTACTTACCTAATGCTACCTAACTTCCTAGCCTGGGGGCTCTGCCCCCCCGAAGTCCCCGTCATATTGAACAAAATCCTTATTTTGGTCAATTTATAGTAATGTATGGGTCTTTATTTTAATATTAAAAATAGATTTTTCCTATGGTATTTGAAGAGTTTCGAACAAATTTGATAATCATTTCCTCCAGAAATCACTAGTTTTTTTTAGATTAAACCCCCCACCCAACTATCATAATGGAAAAAGTTGTATATTCTTTTCGAATAAATCACACAAATAAAATACCAACTAACCAATAAAACCTAACCTAACCAGGGTTGCATTTCTTCCGTTTCTTATTGTTCAGCTGAAGAAATCTGGTGACACCGCCAAATGTGTTGTTCTTAATGCAGTGTACACTGATTATTACACTTTGGACAAACACTGTGTTTTCTAAAAAAGAAAGAAAAATTGCCTCACTATTTTTCTGATGAAATTCGGCAATTGACGTAAAATAATCCATCACAATGTCGGCACATCTCTTCTACCTGTTCAGCCATATCTGTTACTGAAAATTCAAATCTCCGCTCCTGGTGCACCCACGCATTGTTCATTGGGGTGGTAATATTGACAATATTTACCTAGATTTTGCCAAGGCTTTCGACAGTGTACCCTACGAAAGGCTGAAAATCAAACTGGAAGGGTACGGAATTCGGGGAAGTGTCTTAGCTTGGATAAAGAATTTCTACATGACCGCAAGCAGTGTGTGGTGATTAATGGCACGATATCATCATCTGTACCTGTCACAAGCGGGGCACCACAGGGCAGTGTATTGGGCCCACTGTTGTTTGTTTGTTTCTTAAATGACATCCCTGACGTTGTACACTTCTCCATACAAATGATTGCCGATGACGGCAAGTTATTTCGGGAAATCAAGAACCATGTGGACTGTGAAGAGCTTCAGAAGGATCTCTGTGAGCTCCAAGAATGGTCGAAGAAATGGCTGCTGAGATTCAATGTCACAAAGTGTAAGAGGATGCACCTAGGATGTACCAACGGTAAGGAGGCGTATCATATGTCCCAACGGAATGAAGAAACTGCAATATTTGAAACTGAATGTGAGAAGGACCTAGGTGTGTATGTTGACAATGAGCTGAAGTTCTCGGGCCATTGCGAGAAGAAGGTAAATCAGGCAAATAAATTATTGGGTCTTATAAGAAGGACGTTTAGATATCTACAGTAGACGGTCTGTCCCTCGTAACGATCTTCAAGAGTGAAGTGCTTCCCCATCTGGAGTATTGTCAACCCGTCTGGTTCACGAGATATGCTAGGGACTGTCAGTCGGTGGAAAATGTTCAAAGGAGGGCCACCAAACTGGTGCCTGCACTTTGGCACCTCATCTACCCTGAGAGATTGGAGCTCCTGAACTTGCCTTGCTTATACTACAGACAGGCAAGGGGCAATCTCATTGAGGTGTATAAGCATCTCAAGGGGTATTACTCAGTCGAGTGTCCTTACTTGGAGCTGGCGGACGGTCGCCCCACAATGGGTCACAGCCCAAGATTGAAGAAGCCGCAGGTCCAGAAAACTGCGAGGGCAAACTTTTTCGGAGTGAGGGTTGTAAACTCTTTGAACAATATGGCAGAGAGTGTTGTGACAGTACCAAGTGTGAGCTCTTTCAAGACAAGACTTGACCAACATTGGAGCAGGTTCAGGTACATTCAGGAGCCGGTGCATGCCCAGTACTTGCCAACAGTGCGTGACAGAGACATGACCGATCGCCCAAGCAGCTAACGAGCCGATCAGTGGTGAAGAGGATAAAAGTAAAGTCGGAAATTTGTAGCATAGGAGTGTCTCTCCAGGGGTATACACTGGGTATAGAAAATGATTGAAGGTTATGCAGGTATTGAATTTATTCTACCTCTAAGCCAGACTCTTTAATGCCAACAGGTTTTTATTTGTGGTTTTGTTTCCTTGCAGTTGGTGCCATGCCATTAGTTTCTGGTGGAGCTTCTCATATTTGTTGTTCTTCCGGGTTTGTCACTACATTGGTGTGGAAATGGCACCAGGACACACCAATGCCGTGCAGATGATGATCACATTAAAGGTATGAATTTTATAAGGTCGTGTTATTCATTTTATTAATTTCTTCTGTGTATTTATGTACCTTGTTATTTCATTATCAGAATTACCTTATAGTGTACAGTGATAATTCAGTACAGTACAGGGGTTCCCCCCAAATTCTCGGAGGGTTAGGTTCTCAAAATGGCCACAAATCGCCAAATCCACATGGTGGGGGGGGGGGGGTACACTTTTACCTGTGTACAAAGTAATGTACTGTACATTCTCTTTGTGTTTGCCCTTAGGACAATTATTTCTTTTACCTGTAGTACAGTATTTTATATATGTGTGTGTGTGTAATAATATAATAATAATAATAATAATAATAATAATAATAATAATAAACTGTTTATTGAAAGAGCATGGCAGCCGGAAGGCTGAAAATATACAGTTACATAATTGGGGAATGGGTCTCTTGAGTGACAAATAATATACAAGTAACATAAGTGATACAAATATGATATATAATAACTAGGTGGGGAGAAGCTCAAACTACAGGGCATTTCAACATAGTGACAGTGCAAGAATTAAGATTGACTGGGAGTGAATAGCTACTCCTCGACTAACAACCTACTCGACTTACGACCACCCGGACATACAACCTCTTCAGTTGTAGCAAAATTTTGTCATTACGTATTTTCGAGTCCCAACGTTAGTGATTGCTCTGTGTACTGACAAAATTTTGGTTTATAATTCACTTTAAAATGGCTGGCAAGCTTAAAAGTGAGAATTTTGTGGTTCTGAGAAGAAAAAGAGACACCCTTTTAGATTTTCTATGTATTATTTAAGCATTTTCGACTTACGACCAATTCGACTTACGACCTGGATTTGGGTCCCTAATCCTGTCGTAAGTCGAGGAGCAGTTGTACATTGGTTGATTACCAGTTATTGATAATTTTTACAATGGTTGGGACTGGTGCTGTTCTTATAGCGATCAGTTCGTGCTCGTATGGGCTGGATATGGTTGTGGTGTCGAACAGCATTTCTCGGACGAGGGATCTCTGGTGGTAGTAGGAGCTGGTGTCGAGGATGGTGCAGAAGTTTCTCGCCAAATTTCCAGATGAGGTAGTGATGATGGTCAGAAAGAGCCGAGAGGGTCAGTGTGTTGATCGCTTCTTGATATGTGGAGTAGGAAGGGGAGAGAATAATCTTGCATGCCCTCTTTTGCACTTTTTCTAGGTGTTTACGTTGTGTGGCATTTAGGAAGGAAGACCTGGTAGGGGAGGCATAGGTAAGCTTGGGAAGTATGAATGTTGAGTAAACACTGAGGAGCTCGGGGGCAGGAACTCCGAGGGACTTGAGTCAGCGGAGGTGGAGACGGAAACTGGAGGATTTGACAACTTCATTGACGTGTGGTTTCCCATTTAGTTTGTTGTCTACGGTGACTCCGAGGAGCTTAGTGGAATCTACAACCTGGAGTGTGTTGGGACTTAAAGTAATGGAAGGGGGTGGGATAATGTCGGAGGAGAGGTTGATGTGCATAACCATGGTCTTGGTAAGGTTGATGGTGACGTGGTTGTTGGTGGCCCAGTTTTGGAGACTGTTCAATAAATCCTGAAGGGCGGTATAGTCGGGAGCAGTATTGTTGACGCTGATCCCAATGGTGGAGTTGTCGACATATTTCCAGCGAGCAGGGGTTTCTCTTAGGGCATCATTCATAAACATAAGGAAGCATAGTGGTCCCATCTAGGCGCCTTGGGGGATGCCACAGGTGAGTGACTGAAAGGTGGAGACAGCCCCTTGGAAGCGTACAGCTTGGCGTCGGTTACTGAGGAAGTCTGTAAGCCATGGTATAAGACTTCTTCGAAACCCGAGGTCGATAGCTTTGTTGATGATTAAATTGTGATCGACTAGGTCAAATGCCTTGGTGAAGGCTGACAGACTCGGCCTGGCTGACAAAACCTGGAGTGCCTTCAATTCACGTCTTGTCTCACTGATGGTTGACAAGTGTGTGTGTGTGTGTAGACACACACACACACACACACAACACATACAAATAAATAATAATTGGAAAATCCTCTCACAAATAATCAGAAGCAATTTGATTAAAAATGTGAGTCTACCCTCTAGACTTTATTAATAGAGCACGGACTTGAAGGTAGACTGTCACATTTTTAATAAATTTGTTTCTGATTTGTGAGAGGATTTTCCAATTATTATTTATTTGTATGTGTGTTGTGTGTGTGTGTGTGTGTGTGTGTCTCTGTCTGTCTGTCTGTCTACACACACACATATTTACAGTACAGGTAAAGGAAATTACTGTCTCTAGAACGAATGGCTCCCTGTCCCAGGCGCGAAAATGCCGGCAACTTTAAAACTACCCACAGACATTCTTGAGCACATCCAGGGTGTCATCCACGAATAACTAAGAACCGCGAAGTGAAAATCCGCGAACTTGGGGGGCATACTGTATATCATGTAGGCTAATGCTTAAGCAGTGATTATAAAAAAAAAAAATTATTTTTTAACTACAGTGACCCCTCCGTTAACGAACTCAATCCGTTCCAGAAGGTCGTTCGTTAACCGAAAAGTTCATTAACCGAAACCATTGTTTCAATGGGTTTTTGGGCAATTGGTTCCAGCTCACCGAAAATTTCCTAAATTGAACAAAAATGGTAGATAAGTTCACTTACTTTGAGGTGTGTATGTAGAAGGCTCCTGGATGATGATGATGATGATGATGATGGGATTTAGAATGGGGGTGGAGGAGAAGGAAGAAGAGAAGGCATTGGGGTGGAAGAGAAGTCACCCCATGGCGCCATTTCACCCATAAAATTTTAGCTCTCTTGGTGTAATTCAAGATTATTTTCTTTAAATCAACACTGCACTGCATTATATATTGTCAATATGTAAACTATATTTCAAAATGACCAATAATTTGCTTGGAAACACAGAAAAAAAGCGTTTAGTTGAAGAGAGTCTCAAGCAAGATGTTACCTCCACTGAAAACAGAGAGACTAACTCCTGTTTGCTGTGTTAAGAGGCTGGATGCCGCACATTAAACTAGTCACTTTACCCTCAATTATGTTCAATAATTGTTAAAATGACTAAAACATTGAATATTAACTTTTAAAATTATTGAATAGTATAAACTTCTTGATATTTACTAAAATAGTAAGGAATTTAAGCCCTAGAACCGATTACTGTATTGGCGGACTGATACTAAAGCTGGTTGCCCGGTCAGTGCAAGCGAAAACATGTTGAGGTCGGTTCGTAAGAACTTCGTTAACCGAATTTTTTTTCGTTAACAGAATTGAAGATCCTTATGGAAGGCAGTTCGTTTATCGAAATTACGTTAACCGAGGTGTTCGTTAAACGAGGGGTCACTGTACAATGTATCAATTGAGTAAAGTGGAGAAGCAACTGAGGTAATATTGTGTGCCATGTAAATTTATAAGATTTTTCTTATAGTTGATTGGCATTTGCTGTGAAGTTCATGATACTTGGAGAAAGCGTGGAGAAGCAAAGAAAGAAGAAGACAAAGAGAAGAAAGCACAGCTTGAATTGGAATTGAAATATGAAGAGGTGGACCCATCTCCCATGGACATCTTCCACTATGCCTTTTGCTATGTTGGAGTTCTCACAGGTATGGTGAAGTGTGTTAAGTGTTTGTTACTGACTCATATTAATTTTGAGAGTTACCGCATACCAGATGAACAAAATTCTTGTATGCTTTAGCTAGAAGCAGTAATGGTATAAATTCTTTTCAGGTCCATACTACAAATACAGAGTGTATACAGACATGCTGCAAGGGACACCTCTTAGTAATGGACTGGACTGTCTGCAAGCAATGCTATGGAGAATATGGGTTGTTCCACTGTATGCTATTGCATTTTTAATGTCCGACTACTTCTTCCCATTGTCTGTAAGTGACACCAGTTTTTATGTCAAATTGGAATTTCTTTATTTTGATTTTTGCCAGTATCACAGAACAAGTAAATGAAGTGAGGGAATGAGTGTTTTGGAAAGTGGTGGGCAGGGAAAGGTGTTACCAAAGTCTTCTCCTATACTGTGCTGTAGCTAGTTACTGTACTGTAAAGTGTTTTTCATTTTAATTGAATATCAGCTGTGTATACACAGTACATGTACAGTATGTGCTCTACTGACAAATACTAGAGATTTACTTCTTTAATGATTAAAACAACTTACACTTGCAGTTTGCTGAGGATGAGGCGATCTTCCGAGATTATGGCTTTTTCTACCGGATGTGGTACATGACCCCAGTGTTCTTTAACTTCCGCATGCGTATTTATGCTGCTTTTGTACTCTCGGAGTGTGTGTGCATCATGGCAGGACTCGGAGCATACCCAGTAGTGTGTGAACCCAAACCAGGTCGTGGTCCTAGTAAATATGAGGCATTGGAGATGAGGTTAGTACAGTATGATACATCATGTTAAGGTCTGTTGTATTAATGAGAATCCCACCACCTTCTTCTTGGTCTTTCTCTTCATTTTCCTTTCACCTCATTCCAGTGCATTACAGTATTGTATATTTATTTTTTGTTTCAGTTACTCTTACCAGTTGCTCCTAATGCCTAACTTAACCTGAACTTAATATTATGGATCTTAGCTTACATCTTGGATAACTAAACTTGAGCTTTATTGTTTTACTACACACTTCTCACTTCACAAACAGTTCTCTAAATATCTTATTATCATCACTACCATCCATGTGAAATTAATATTACACCCCATTCATTAAAAAAAAGTCCACCGCTTGATCTGCATTTGAAAATGTTATTACACACCCTTGTTTCACTCCTAAATTTGATATCCAGTGCTTGGGCTAACCCTGTGAATTTAGTAGTACAGTGCACTATTGCTCACCCCTTTTTCATTGTCTAACCAATACTTGCTAGTCTCTTATCCAACAGAAACTCTCCCACTCCCAAATGCCAGTTCTTATTCCTCACTGCTCAGTCCAGAGTACAGTACCTCTCATGTATCACATCTTTTATTTATTTAAATTTTTTTTTAAATACAGTACAGTAAAGCCTCGGATAATGATGGTAATGTGTCCTCCAATATTGCAGTGTAAGGTGAACCATCGTATTGCGAATCATTAATTACCATTAAAATAAACCAATAATAATGAGATGCGTTAACAAGTGTGACCTTTTCATATTTTGTGTGGCTTTTTACCCTCTTTTTTCCCCCAAAACAATACAATTGATGAAAATGGCAAACTATATTCTTTAAATAATGTTTCTGAATGCACCTTATACAATATAAATTAATAATAATATGGTCACACAAGAGAAGATGTGACGCCATTGTTTTCGTTTGTGTTTACACCCGGGAGTCCGGGACGCTAGTTCTACACAAGAAAATTAAGAAAATAAGTCCCTGGTTGTAGCTGTAGTAAAATTTATGTAAAAAATTAATATATATGTTTTAAGTAACGTTATTTAATGTAAATAAATGGAACAATAGAAGTAACTAACCTCTAATGGGAAAAAAAAGTGCGATGGATTGGGAACACCAACATATACGTGCACATTTAAGGATACCACATAATTTATCCTTTTAAGAATAAGTACAAAAGATTCATAATTGTTTATTTCTGAATATGTATTTGGTTGAATTAATCTTTATATATAGTATAGCCTTCATTTATGCGGTCAATTGAACCTGTGGAGGTCCGCGTAAAACGCTTAAACGAAATAACAGAACATATGGGATTAATTGAAATAGAGACTGGACCGACCCCCAAACTACACTTTTTCCGACACAATACGTACGTTGTAGTAAAAATAACATCTTAATTTTATGATGGCATGCACACAATTAATATTTAAGAGAAACATCAATAATATTAGGTTTTTTAACACTTACGTTAGTAGAAAAGAAGGCTAGGCACACTGGGATGCGGGGTTGGTTCCGAGGCAGAGGGCAGATTATTGGCCCTCACCTGTATCACTTGTATCAATTGTATCACTATCCACCACAGAGGCTTGCAGGGCCTCTTTGTCAAACCCCTCAAAGTTCATATCCTCACTATCACTGACTTGGGCCGGCTGTGGTGGGTGGTGGGTGAAGAACTCGGTAATGTTTTGTTGACTGGGAGACCTTGTGCGCACCCTGCCCGTGCCGCTTCCCGCGTAAATGATGGAATGAACCGTGTAAATAAAAATTGTCGGTCTGGCAAGGTGCTGCGTAAATGACCAAACGCATAAACCAAATCCGCGTAAATCGAGACTATACTGTATGCGAAATTAACAATACAGTTCATTAATAATACGTAGAATATTAAAGTACACAAGAGGATAAGAGATGGCATTGTTGTCAGTGTTTACACCCATAATGTCAGTTATCCACCTGAAACTGAAGAAAAGACCCTGGTTGTTGTTGTATTAGAAGTAATGTAAAAAATATGTATGATTTGATTAATGTTATTTAATGTACAGTAGGAGTAACCACTGATATTAAAGAAAAAAAGTGAGACTGATAGTGGAACGCCAATGTATACGTGCGCACTCAAAGAAACATAGTCATTTATATTAAGAATATGTACAAAAGTCATTATTGTTTCTTACTGACTATGTATTTGATTGAATTAATGTTTATATATGTGAAACGAACAATGCAATTCATTAATATTACGTAGAATATTAAAACACACACGAGGAGACAAGACGGCATTGTTTTCGTAAGTGACGATTTTTCTACATAGAAACTGAAGAAAATAAAATCCTGGTTGTAGCTGAGGTGAACTTAATGTAAAAAAAATTTAATAACTGTATGTACGATTTAAGTAATGTTATTTAATGTTAATAAATGGAACACTAGAAGTAGCTAACCACTAATGGTAAAGAAATAAAGCGAGACGATTGGGAACGCCAACGTATGTACAGTAAGTGCGTACATGTGAACACATATCGTCATTTCTCTACACATGAATATGAAAGCAACACTTATTTACTGTTCATATATGTTTTAAACAATATTTACGAATGTAAGACAAAAATTCTACTCGCCAATGGTGGTAAAGTCTTAAACATAAGGACAGCCAATGATGTTGTGCTATCTGCGATTGTTTACTAGTGATGCTGGCGTCACCACTAACAAGCCCGGCAGCTTCCATGTGCAAGGAGTGTTTTTTTTATAATATCGGGATTTAGTTATTATTTATATGAAAATGTAATATATTTTTTAATTTTGTCTTAAATACGAAGAAAATAATGGCATAAATTGAATTGGGTCCTAAATTAACCAGGTTCTTAGATATAAATCTTTGTTAGTTGAACCGTCGTTATCGGAGGCTTTACTGTACAGTATATCACTGTTAAAGAATAACTCTTGTATTGATAAAGATAGTTTGAATAGATGTTATGAGTAAGTATCATTGTTAGATAAATTGTAGAACAACGAATTCAAGTTCGTATCAAAAAATTATTTTTTTCGTCATTCACTTTAAATGGCATCCAGTATCATACCTTTCATGCTAACTGTTTGTAATGGCATTATTTAGCCTATTGCATATGTTGACAGTATTTCATAGGCGTATATTTCTGTATTTCAGCTCTAAGAAGGTGTCTGATAAAATTGAGTACAATTTTGAAACTATTCACAATATTGATGAGTTTGGAGCTGACTTCACGCCAACAGTTCGTGGTGGAATGCGTTGCTGGAACATGACTGTGCAGTTCTGGCTTGTTAACAATGTATATAAGCGCCTCAAGTTGGCCAGGCCTATCAAGTGAGTGTAACAGTTGTGTTCTTTTTTATGAGTAGGACCAGCCTATAGATACCGATACAGTTTTCTTATATCAACATGGAGTAGTTTTCTAAGACAGCTGCACTTTTTGTGTAGGAAGTGAAGCCAATGACAGGTTGATCTTGGAGTACAGTACATTAGTGTGACAGGCAAATAGAATACTAAGCCTCGGTATGCTAGAAGGTAATATGGCTGGCACTACACTCGACTTTCTTCACTTTCACGACTAAAATCAAGTCACCTTCTTCAGAAAGGTCAGCTGGAGGTACCTTAGCACAAACCAGCAACCTGTAGAGTAGGAGGTGAGTGCTGTATCCAAGCACCTGCTGCACCTGAAGAAATTGTATACAGTGTACTGTAAAAATAAAAATAATATTTGTATTCCCCAACAGGGAGGCACTGACAATGTTTGCCTCTGCATACTGGCATGGAGTGTACTCAGGATATTACTTATCCATGCTAACTGTGCCATTCATTCTGGCTGTGGAGGACTACTTCGATCGCCTTGTTAGGAGGAAACTTGGAGATAAGGTATGTAACTCTTAACACATTAATCCACAGCATTTGGAAATCATAGTTGGGTAATGATAAACTGCAACAATACCATAATGGTTTCTAATATATATTTCTGATTACCGATAAATTCATACCAGTTGATGGACTTTTCCTATACTTTTGTGTGATTTGTGAGCTAATTAAAATAATTAGCAATTTAAAAAAATTATAGCTCATTTATGAACAGCATGTACGGCCAGTGGAAGTGCCACACTTGAACCCTCTCGCGCATCATGATGCAAATCGTGTCAGATCATTAGGTAGCACTACTGTATTTGCATCGGTGACACAAATTGCACCATTAAACTTGAAAAAAATTGGCCTAAAAAAGGTTTTCAAGATCATGAGGGAAGTTTCCCAAAAGTACTAAAGTGGAGGTTGAGTTCTGCTATCCATCAGTTTCCTCTAGTGAGCTGTGACCTGGGGGTCCAGACCACTCCTTTTCATCAGAACATTCCAATACTTTGTCTTTAATGCAGTATTGTACTCAGTCATTTTTGTACAGTAAAAAGTAATTACTATTGACCTCAGAATATCTCCTAATATCAAGTGCACCTTGCTTCAAAATAGCCTCAAAATGCCCATGATATTGCTCAGATTAGAAAAAAAAATAATGGGGGGGGGGGCTTACAGTTCCCCTCCAGAACTCCCCGGCTGGGTGGGCTCACTGTGCTCGCTATGTTCCCCCACCCACAACTCCTGGACACCCCCCTGATGTTCCTGGATCTGCCCCAGCTTTTGTCTCCCTCTCTCTGTGTCTTTCACAATACTGTATCTTCTCTGTTCCTATGAAGTTTATGTAGAAGTAAAGAAAAAAATACGCTTCTCTGCCAGGCAACTTCTGGGCACGTGGACTTTAAAAAACACTTGCCAAGTTATAAACCCAAGCTAGACCAGGGCTGCCTGGTTATGTAAATCTTCCTAGCCCGTATTTACCTACTTCTCCGCATTGAATTCATCTGAGGGTTTGGGATTCATAAAATGTATGATTTCCTGTTGTTGTTGTTTTTTCTTTTGGGGGATGAATTGAGGAGAAAAAAGTTTGCAGACTAATAGTAACACTGAAATAACACCTTCTAGCCCTGGTGGCCAAGTGGTAGAAAGTGGTAAAGTTTGCACAAAAAATAGCTGTAAACTGTGTGGGTGTTTTGTTGTTTTCATGTAACTCGACTAAGAATTAATATGTTGAATATTAACATGGAGATTTATTTGTTTACATTAAGAGTGAATGGATGACAACACATGAGGACAGAGTCTGTGTTAACTCCTATCTCGGACCTCCTTGCTATACCATGGAAGAGGCCAAGAGTGAAAAAATATTAATTAATTTTATTTCCAGGGTAAATATGTTTATGACTGGCTTGCCTGGTTTGTGAAGATGCAGAACTTTGCCTACATGGGTATGGCCTTCCTCCTGCTGCGTGTGGACACAACTCTCCATTACTGGCACTCTATTGGCTACATCTATCATGGTCTGTTAATTATGATGCACTGTATTGCACAGTACGTCAACCTCATTGTAGGCAAGGTAAGTGGAGGGTTCATTCATTTTGTTTTGGTTAGGTGCAAGGGAAGTAGGATGTGGTTAAATAAATTAAGAATTTTTTCTGAAATATAACTAGTAGAACATGTAACTACAGTAATGGGAAATATTGAGTCAGTAACCATCTAAATGTGTACACAGGAGGTTGCTGCTCAGTGGTTGTTAGGGTTACACTCTTAATTATTCTCGTGCTGTTACTAATTAATCAGCTTCATTAATTTTTATAGGATCTTGTTGCTCTCCTATTAGAATATTATTATTTTTTTTCAATACGGTAAGTCCTCGTTTAATGCTGCCTCCGACAACGTTGTTTCGTTATACAGTAGAACCTCGATAAATCGGACTAATTGGGGCAGACCCCAGTCCGAAAAATGCGAAAGTCCGAGAAAAGCGAATATTGGTGGGGGAGGGGGGAGAGTTGGAGATAACACTGTTTATCTGAACTGTTTAAAGAAAATCAGTTGTTATGTTACTGCTGCACTTCAACAACTAAGGCCTTTAAGTGTATAACAAGGTTATTAAAGGAATATTACATCAACAATAAAAAAAAATATGAAACGACTCTCTGGGTTGAAAATCAGACATGTAAATCCAGTTGTCACCGATATGATTGTTGTTTACTGTAAAGTGTTATATGTAAGTAACCAAAGAATTTGTCTTATGAATAAAGAGAAAGCTGTATACTGTACAGTACAGGTACTGTACTATAAAGATGAAAATCAGAACAAATAAGTGTAGGGGGGAGTATCGTGAGTGGGCGGCTCCCCCTCTCTCCCACAAGATTCCTTTAATGCTTCTTTATGCAATTTCACCATAATTCTCATAATTTAGGATCATTTGGTGACAGGTTGATAAAATATTATCTTAAAATAATCAGTTTTCCTAAAAAAAAGAATCCCACACTCAACATGAGTCATTTGCTTACAAAGAGCAAACAGCTGATCGGCTTACCAACAATGCCTGTCTTCAACACTTAATAAATTAGTACAGTACAGTTGTATATTTATCACCACTAAATAAATACTATTGTAGTGTATTTATCATCACTTAAGTAATATTGTAGTGTAAAGTATTATGCATCTGTATTTACCCTGGTTTATTCATTAATCATTTGTCTAGATACAAGTAGCCAAACTGAGTCATCATATAACACTCAAAGGTAGTGAATAACGTTTTAAAGAAGGTATCTTCATATCAGATACTATACAGTGTGTTATAGTGACCCTTGTTATAAGCTGGACTACTAAAAGCTCACAGGAATGCATCTGAGTAAACAACCTTGTGATACAGCTTATCCTTTTATTTTCAAGTCATATTACAAATTACATACAGTATTGTATTTTTCTCTATTACTGATTAACCATAAACCATAAGAGGCCAATCATATGAGAATATAATACTGTACTGAATCAATAAATAAATAAACCTGACAAATGCGGCAACACCTGATAAGCCCCGGACTGCATACATACTCAAGTGTTTTAGTTCTCAATAGACCTATAGCAAATCTGATTAGACCACTGTACAGTATTCAGTAAGTGTTGTTCATTTCATAAGATTTAAAAAAAATACCCCCGCTTTTTTTTTTAACCAGAGCATCTCAAAGTCCGAAAAAAGCGAATTCCGATTAATTGAAGTCCAATTTATCAAGGTTTTACTGTATTGTCGCTTCTCTTTAGATACCCATGATTCGGACAACGTCCCGCTGATTCTGTATAATGTCATCATGGACTACTTTGTACGGTGCATCACCCTCTCTCACCCAGTCAGAGCAGGAGGAGGAGCCATCCTCCGGGTCTCAGTGACTCACCACCCTCCCCCTCTCCACTACCCACCACACACTCGCTCCACCTCCGCCCATCAATGAGTACAATACAAAATGATTTAGTTTACTTATCTTTTGGGATGTATAGTATATACTATTTTCTATAAAAATTCCATTGAATTTATGTACAGTAGTACCCCGATTTACGCGGTCAATTGAACCCACTGGGTACCGCGTAAAGTGAACAACAGAACATATGGGATTAATTCCAATAGAGACTGGCCCGACCCCCAAACTCCACTTTTTCAGACACAATACCTACATTGTAGTAAAAATAACATCTTAATTTTATGATGGTATGCACACACAATTAATAATTAAGAGAAATATCAATAATATTTGGTTTTTTAACACTTACATTAGTAGAAAAGATGGCTGGGCACACTGGGATGGGGGGTTGGTTCCGAGGCAGAGGGCAGATTATTGGCCCTCACCTGTATCACTTGTATCAATTCTATCACTATCCACCACAGAGGCTTGCAGGGCCTCTTTGTCAAACCCCTCAAAGTCCATATAAGTCCATATCCTCACTATCACTGACTTGGGCCGGCTGTGGTGGGTGACGGGTGAAGAACTCGGTAATGTTTTGATGACTGGGCGACCTTGTGTGCATCCTGCCCACGCCGCTTCCCACGTATATGAGTAGATGCACCGCGTAAAATGAAATTGCGGTTCTGGTGAGGTACCGCGTAAATGTAGAATCGCGTAAACTAGAACCATGTAAATCGGGGTATTACTGTATATGTAATGTATTTTATGGGGAAAAGGGAGGCTGGGGAGCGTAACTCACGTATTTTATCTATTTCTTATGGGGAAAATTAATTTCATTAACGTTGTTTCCGTTAATGTCGCAGTTTTCAGGAACGGAACCACCACGTTAAGCGAGGACTTACTGTATTATAATTGAAAATAATTATTTATCATTTCACAAATGCATGGATGTGATTTATGACAGTTTTTCCAAACATCTGATTTAATTTCTAAAATTTTTTTTAACATCCTTTTTTTTTCAACCTTTGAAGTGACCTAATTTTATTGACCATCATATTCACATTTCCGTGAATGTATTATATCAAGCACAGTATAAATAGAATATCAGTAATATAACAGTATTTTAACCGAAAACTATTTAAAAAAACGAGTAACATCTCTTGAACATCGGAAGGTTAGGTAAAGTCTTTTGTTTTCGTCATGTAGTTTATCCTATTTTACATTGAAATACATCACGTTTCAGCAAAACTACTATTTTTTTCTGAGAATATGGAAATGTAATATTTTTGCTGAAATGGCGTGCGTATTACAGTGGAAAGTGGGATAAAATCGTGACGAAAACGATGACTTACGCTATTTTTCGTTCTAAAGATGTTACCGTAATCGCTTTTCGAATGGTTTTCAGTTAAAAAAATGTTGTATTACAATAATATTCTATCCTAATTCACTTGTGATGTAACAGTTTTTTTAACTGAAAACGATTAAAAAAACACATGTACCGTCTAGCTTATACGGCAGAGCCCTGGTCGTGGAGGCTTTGTTTTTGCATCGGCCCTTCTTAAGCAGCCTTTAATATTAGCGTACGTTGAAATTGTGTTTACCGGTATATTCTTATTTTCTTGCTTCTTATTTTCCAGAAATATGACAAGTTTGTATATACTGTAATACAATGTTACTGTACTTTTAATTTACAAGTACAATATTCATTTTTAAAAATACAGAAGACACCAAACAAATACCAGGACGGATATTTGCGTGACTCTCCCGACAAAAAAGACCAAACAGCTGGTACTCTCCCTCAGCCCTAACAAAAATAGCCCAACGACAACTTTCTTGTTTATTCTCTTCCAATTTCTCACTTTAACTGGTATTTTCTACTTCATATTGCCTACATCAGATAAACTACAGTAATTAAGGTTAGACACTGTTATAAATTTGATTACCGGGTACTGGCAGGATGCTGTTTGAACCACCTGACCCTACCAAGTGTTGCAATTCAGACACAGCATATTTTTTTTTCATTTTTGGTGTCTCCATTTCTGTTAATTTTTTTTTTCTGTGGGGTTTGCACAATAGTAAACTGTTTTACCTACAGTATTGTAAAACGATTTGGGAAAAGAAATACAGTACTCGGTAACTTAAAATTTTAAACGGAAAATCTTGAAACTGGCAACTGTGTGTAGATGACCTGACTCACATCATATTATGTCATCACGAGTAGCCTACGTGTACATTTCAAATTGTGTCTTGTTATAGTGTAAACGTGCTTGACCCATATTCTCTTCAGCATGGATTCAAGAAGAAACAAGTTCACGGCAAAGTTCAAGCTCCGAGTGATTGAATATGCGGAACAGACTAACAGCTGTGCAGCAGCAAGGGAATTTAAGGTTTCCGAAAAAAATGTTAGAGACTGGAAAATGCTCTCTGTACAACTTAAGCTTATGCCGAAAAACAAATGTGCTAACGGAGGAAAGTGTAACAAGTGGCCACAGGTGGAAGTTGAAGTGGCATGTGTCAGTGAAAACCGACAGAATGGATATGGTTTTTCCCGAGGATCAAATCGAATCTTTGCCTTGAAACTAGCTAGGAAATTAGGCATCACAGATTTTAAGGCGAGTCATGGTTGGTGCACAAGATTTATGAAAAGAAATGATTTTGTACTGAGACAGAGAACGAAAATATCACAGCGTCTTCCACAAGAACTTGATGACAAGGTTATTGAATTTCATAGGTTCATAATCAAACACCAGAAGAAGAACTCATATAGACTTAAGTGTATTGGAAACATGGACGAAACGCCCATGAATTTTGATATGCCAGTCAGTCAAACAGTGAATAAAGTTAGTGAAAAAACAGTTTTAGTTAAAACTACTGAACATGAAAAATGAAGATTCACAGTTGGGCTATCATGTATGGCTGACAGCACAAAGCTGATGCCTATGCACGAGAAAGGATGGATGGATGAAGGCGGCATACAAATATGGCTTAAAAAAGTCTGGAACTTTCGACCAGGGGAACTGTGCAAAGAAAAAAGTCTTCTTGTGTGGGATATTTTTCGGTCACATCTTGTTGACAGTGTTACTGCTGGGATTAGGAGAGAAAACACTGATATAGCTGTGATTCCTGGTGGATTAACAAGTCTTGTCCAACCACTGGATGTTTCCATAAA